TTTGCTTTTTATTTGACCTTTTCAACTTTTTGTAGACCCGACATAGGACTCAATCATCTAACGGGTATCAAGGAATTGCTTCTCGCTATGCGTACCATGGTGGAGGGTGTGCATACAAACCGTGAAACCGACGACCGGTGCATGCACAGAAGTTTTTGCAGCACATGTGGTGGTCATGATCTAGGCGGGGTGCCCCACCGGTGATAGCCACAGCCTTCCGTTCGGTAATAAAAATGACGAGGTCACCATCTCGGTGGACAACAATTTCGCTAATTGGCAACCTCACCGAAATGCGGCGGGGGCCCTCAAACCGCATGGCGGCTAGGGCTGACGGCATAACGAACTAGGCTTCACATGCAGCGTACAACAGTTCCGCGACTGAGGCCTCTATCGTGAGGGTGCAGGCCTCGACGGGGACGAGCAGTAGTGTCGCGACGAGGTTCAGCAGGTCGACATACTGGGTTACGCAGCCGGCAAGCATGAACGCCGCGAGCGAGGAGTAGCAGCAGTGGGATTTTAGCCGTGTGATGGAAGGTGGCAACGTGTCACACTTGGAGCTAGAGTTTTGGGTCGACATCCCAGAGTTTTCGAGCAAACTTGATGCTGTGGAGTTTCTTTATTGGTGGGCCACAGTTGAGTCCATGCTCGAGTTTAAGGATATCTAGGATGATATGCATATCGTGCTCGTTGCAACAAGGCTTTGCGGGTGCACGATCACTTGGTGGATGCAACTCAAAAGTGGACGACATCGTTAGGGCAAGCCAAAGATCTCGAATTGGATAAAATTCTGAAGCACTTAAAGTGTGAGTTTTTGCCTTTTAATTATGTTCATTCGGTTCATCAGCAATTCCAGAATTTAAGGCAAGGGTCGCGTTTAGTCGATGAGTATATAGAGGATTTTTTCGACTCCTCACGCGTTTAGATGTTCGTGAGAAGACATATCAGTTACTATCAAGATATCTGGTCAGTTTGTGTGGTCCGATCCAGGAGACACTCAATATTTTCGTACCAAATTCAGTTTCGGATGCACATCAGCATGCTATATTGTCGAGCAACAGTTGACTCAAAAGGAGGGTTCATCTACTTTTTTTCTTTAAGGCACAACCTGTGTAGAGTCGCGCTTTGCCACACGATTTTTAATATCTTCTCTCTAAGGTTGAGTTCGTCTTTCTCCACCGCAAGCGATGGAACATTGTGTGAATGGTGGATCTGGTGCGGAGGATACTCTCAGACATGGTCTCCCTGATATATTCCCTTTGGACTGAGTCCACAGACTTTACTTTTAATGGTCAACAATAGATTGTGAGATCGACTGCGACTGAACTGGTTCTTATTCTTTATTTTGGACAATATTAAGTTTTTATTAGCAAGCGTTATAGGCATAGTAGTGGAGGAGGGAAGGGGAGGGGGGGATGGTAAGGTTTGTGCCAGAAGGTTTGAAAACCCCTTCAAGAAATATGGGTTTTGAAATAATGATGTGAAATCGATGTTCTGGGCCCCTATTGCGGTTATGTTCTGCCTCAGAGTCTTCATGTTGATTCTCATGGAATTGTTAGCTTCTCTTGTACGCTCCGTTCTTCGTCTGTTAGATCTTTTGTTCCTCTTCAATCCTAACCCTACACGTGTCCCATGTGGTCTTTTTTCATAACTACCATCTTAGTTCGGTTCTTAGTTGATTACTAGCCGGCTAGTATCCGTGGAGCCTTCCTGTTACACTCTCTCAGCCTAATTCTGTTCCAATATATTGAGCATTAATTATACCGAGCTCTCCTTGTGCCGAGCTCTTCCTATACCGAGCTTACACTACACTGAGCTCTTACCATTGCATGCTCGCGTGACGGCTTTGAACTATACCCCTAGCCGAGCTTCTTAAACTGTCGAGCTTTTATTAACCTAACTAGTGTTTGACCGAGTTGTTGTAGCGCCGAGATACTAACTCTACCAAACTTATGCCTAACTAACTAGTGTATGTCCGAGCTGTTGTAGCGCCGAGCTACCTCAGTATCTTACCAATATGGTCAGAGCTATGCATAACCAAGCTACTAACTCTACTGAGTTTATGGCCTAGCTAACTCCGACTTATTAAACCGAGCAAGTCCTTGCCGGTTCACCGAGCTATTCTTATGTGCTATATCACATACTTCACAAACCACGAAGATCGATATTGTATCATTTCCAACACTTTCTTTTTTTGAAATTGAAAGATTTATTTTTGGCAACAAGTTCAAAAATAATATATTGAAGATGTGTTTTTGCAAGCATAAAGAATTAAAAGGGAAGATCTACATTTATTTTGGTATATATATATATATATATATATATATATTGGTTTTTGCAATGATTATGTATATGTTGGAAAGATTTTCATTATCTTGTTAAGTTGAATTTTTGTAGGCAATTGGACTATGTATGGACGTGCATGAAGAGAAGATATTTGGAGAGAGAGAGAAAGATATATTCACTTGCTATGTTTCATCTTAAAAAATAGAAAGGAAATCGGAATGAGAAGACATCTTGCTTGGAGAAGACTTCACGCCTAAGGAGTCTTTAAATACCCTACTTGAAGATAAATTGAAGGCTGAAGAGATTATCATCATTCACGTATTATTCCCAACATTCAATTGAGAGTTCGAGTTTTGTCCTTTAGTTTAGTTTATTGTTCAGAAATTTGATGTTCTTACAATGTCCGATTTGTGTTAGTTTTTCATATCTTATTCAACCGCTTTGTTTTTAGTACTTAGGGATTAAGTACTGAGTTCTGCTAGAGGGATTCGAGAGTGTAAAGTCCGCGGGACGTGGCCAGAGAAGTAGTTGATAGAATCGAGTGTAGTTGTGGCTAGACTATAAGAGAGTTCTAGTTTGTAAGTTCAAACTATACATGTGTGCGCAATCGATTTATCAATGAAAGATCCCTGAGGGATAATGGGACGCTCCTCGAAAAGTTTATGTCTCTTATTTTATGCTTCCCTTATTTCGACAAATTTTGGTGTTACAACACATTTAAATAATCATACAGTTGAGCGCCACATTTTCATAAATGGATACTCTTATGCTGATCAATTGTTATACTTTTTTTCCAACAAAAAATATACAAGTAAATATATTTTTAATTATGCTGTTTTTAAAGATACGATACAAATAGTACAAATACAAATTTGAATCAATCCAAATATATCTCATTAACAATTTGCAGCCTCTCACATTCCCAATCTACTCATATCAAAAGATTTTTATAGCACATATTTCATCCCTGTACACCCACAACGAATTTATATCACTTTTTGTGGTAATATATAATATAAAATATGTATATGAATATGATGAAGTAATTTATTTACTGAGGGCCGAGACCTCGCTCCTCCGGGAAGGGCTCCTCCAAAAACCGGCGCTGTAAAACTGATCCCACATCTCCTTCTCCAACTCGGCCAGCTCCTTACCCTCATCCGACGCCGCCAGCGGGCTCGTCACCTGGTGCACGTGCACCTCCTTCTCTTCGCACCCGCACTTGATCCTTCCCGTCGGCAGCAACCCCTCCTTCATCAGCTTCCGCCGCCGCTTCCTCCTCAGCGCCTTCCGGCACAACCCAGCCGGCACCTTGTACACCACCAGCACCAGCAGGTTCGCCAGACCGCACGGGCAGCAGCAGCACACCGCCGCGCACTCCGCCACCGTCCCCCCGGCCACCTCCGCCACCCTGCGCGACGAGCACTCCGACCCCCGCAGCAGCTGACGCCGGTCCGCCGCCGTCGACGCCACCGGCCGCAGCACGATTTGCCTCGTCATTTGCTNNNNAATTTTTACTCTTAACCTAATTTCTCCAATTGAAATCCCCACCCCTAATTATTTCTTCAAAAAATCGATTGACAGCGAAATTTTCCCGCCAGGAATCAGAATAAAACCATCCGTTCGATAGATTTGCTGTATTTCTGAATACGATAATTTCCGATTCGAATCGGGATCGTTACCTGAAATTGTTCAACTTATCTCGAAACATGATGTGCAGGGTGAGAGAGTGTATCATTTCCCGGCGGTGGTGGGGTGCGGTGGAAGGGCAGTGGTCGATGACCACTGGCGGAGGAAGAAGAAGAAAAAGAAGAAGCTCCGAGTACAATTTTGTTTGTTCCTCTTCCCCGATTATGGAGGAGATTTTATCAAGAAAAGAAAGAAACAACATCACTGTTAGTTGTTGACGAATTCAAATTTGATTTAATGGCTGCCCTTCTTTTCAGCTCAGCTTTTTATTTTTATTTTGGTTTTAAAAAAGTAATAAATATTTGTTTTATATGTAGAAAAAGCAATATGGTTAGGACTTAAACCGTTTCCAACCGAGACGCAAAACCAATTTTTTGCAGCAGATTTCTCTTCAACCGAACGGTAATTTTGATCGCAAAATGCGTTGAAAACCTCCTCTCCTGTTTTGAACGCAAATTTGCATCAGACGCAAAATTATGCGTCTTATCTTTTTTTTTTCATTTTAGCCCTTCCATTTTCAAACTCTTTCATTTTCTTTTTGTTTTTTTCATTTTAGTCCCAACCCTTTTAATTTAGATATATCATAATTAAATTAATGTATATTAATATTAATTTTTTCACAATAATAATAATAATAATGTAAAATAGTAAAAGAAATAATTTTATAAAAATTAGATAGTATAATATTTAAAATAATAAATATTATATTTATCATTTAATTTTATATATTTCACAATAATAAGGTAAAATATACATATTATTTATGTGATTTAGAATGCTAAGATAATATGAATTGGAAAGATAATTTAAAACATACTAAATTTTTTTTTTAATTTTATTAAAATAATGAATAACATATTATTTTATATTTGTTCACAATAATAGTGTAAATATATATATATATTAATTCTATATTTTTTCACAATAATAATGTAAAATAGTACAAAAAATCTTGATTGCATAAAAATTAAATAGTACAATTTTTAACATAATAAATATTATGTTTATCATTTGATTCTATATATTTCACATAATAATAATATAAAATATACATATCATTATGGTATTTTTATTTTATAAGAAAAGAAAACACGAACATTAAACAACAACAACATTACTAATACAAATAGCAATAACATTAAAACATGATACATTACGATTTAAAGAAACACATGTAAATAACTAGTGTAATACCCCGTTCGATTGTGGATTATTTGTGTTATTATTTATTTCTTTATTATTATTTGTGCTCCTTTTATTATTATTATTTGCTAATGTCATTATTATTATTATTATTATTATTAATACTATAATTATAATTGAATGTCTATATATGTATATATATATTTATTTGTCAAATTGTAATTATTTGTCTAAATGCATATTTTTATTATTAATATTATTATTTTAAAAATATTGTGTGTAATATAAATATAGATAATCCGGATTAATTTGTTTATCGTCGTCTATCGAATCGAGCGGAAATACATTTTTCGTGTATTATAGATATGGCATTGTAAATTATATTTTCAGCCCTTGAGTTATTTGTTGACCGAAATTCCTTGTTGATGTTACTTGGCCTAAATAACATTAGTTTGATAAGCCATTTGATTACTTAAAGATTTGGTCCCAACTCTTTTATTGAATTATTTGGCCCATAATTGTATTATTCGTGAATGGAGAGCAAAAGACATATATTTTCCTTCTAACGGCGACCAAGTCCATCTCTCCAAACGGCTCAATAATCAGGTCGCGATATTCTGGGAGATAACCTCCAAACGACTCTCACTTCTACTTAAGAATCGGCAAGGGAGTTCTCAACCCTAGAATTTTTGAAATCAAGTTCTTCATATCAGAGTGCAGCACCAAAATCGTTTTGCTTTCTTTTTTTTTCTTCTCCCTGCGATCATCACCGCATCTGCGTTCGATCATCCTCATATCATCAATTGCCGCGGACAATCATCCCCATCAGCAGGCTGTCATCAACATCACGCGACCAGACCTTCGCCATGACCTAGCAGTAGACCCTGTTCACGCAGCGACCTCCAGCAGCACCATCTTCTCCACTGTGAGACGAAGCTCCACCGGCGAGCCTCCTCCGTCAACGTTCATTCTCAGCTTTCGGGACCCACCGAGTTCCGTCGGAGTGCTGAACGTAGCCATCGAGTCCCGTCGGGTTCCGTCGGAGCGCTCGTACGATCCGTTCAGTCCGTCGTTTCAATCCGTTCGAGTGACCTACATCCCGAGAACGGTACAAGGCTGTGAACCCTCTCGTTAATTGTTATTCGGGATGATATAGTTCGTTTACTTGCGTTCACGTTGAATCGTTTCGTTAGTTTTGAGTTCGGTTTATGAATTTTGAGTAATTATCCATGTGGAATCTTGAACTTACGTGGACAAGTTGGAACTCTAGTTTTGTAAAATATCCAGTGCCTTGTTGCTGTGAGTAATTAAATTATTCGAATTCGGAGTCTCGTTTTGTTATTTCGAGCCGTCGTTAGGTTGTTCGTTTTCGTTCGAGCCTTATACGTCGTTCCGTTTATTCATCTCAAAACTCGATTTTTATAAACTTTCAAAGTCTGAGTTGAGTTATATTTTGTTGTAAATGTTGAATTTATGGACCTAATTGCTGAGGGATCGATCCCCGTTGAATTTTGGTCGTATTTTCAGCTGCTGTTTGGTTTTCAGCTTTTGTGTCTTCCCAGATTCTGTTCAGCTTTGCTAGATTGGTTTTATATTAAATTTTCCCTTAAAAATAACAACGGTTCGTGTGGTGCAGTGGTTAAATGCTTTGGGTATATGATTGAGGTTAGGGGTTTGAACCCTGCCCTGCGGTTTCTTTTTTTTTTTTTAATTATTGAATCTTGCTCCAGCGCGGGCCATATGGCCTGAGTTCGGCCCACGTGCGGCCCGCCTTCCAGTCAGCTTCAGAAGCCCGCGAGCCCGCATCCGGCCCTCCATCAGTCCGCGTTCACCCAGTTTTTCCTAGCCTTTTCGCGACCCAATTTAGTGTGTATTTTCTGGCCCAATTCGCGTGTATAAGGCCCATTTTCGCAGCAGAAAATTCCAGCGCGGCCCAGTTAGCTTTTTAGTCCTAATTTGAGTTCCGGAAGCTCGTTTTTCATACTGAACTTATATCTATAAAAAAAAAAAAATATATTTTCAAAGTATAAAAATTTGGAAAAATTATTTTAAAGTCCCGAGACTCCAAATTAATTTTCCGAGTCATATTTTACAAAAATGAGAGAGTTTCAAGTCCACGAAAAATTCGATTAAAACCCTTAAGTCTTAATTCTTATTAAGTATGGGTTTTATGTTAAATTCGAGTAGTGAGATAAATTATTGATAAAATATCTCGCTTAAATGTAGGTATTTGAGGAGTCGAGCCTCATCCTACGTACTTGCTTTTGTGTGCCATTTTCTACCGAAATTTCCAGGTGGGTTGTAATTGTAAAATTTACTATGCCTTAATTAATTGTTTTTGCTGTTGTATGATCAAAGTATGCATGTGAACCATGTAGCCTTCGATGTGAGCTATATTGGCCGTCGAACGATTATCCCCGTAGCTATAGCACGTACCTTCGGGTAGTCTCCTTTATTATTGTTGGCAGTCAGGGCGTGAGCCTTGGCTGGTGATCCTCGTATGTAAGGCCAAGGCATGAGTTTTGGCATTCGGGGTGGATTATTGCTCCTGCTGGCCGGGCACTCGTTGTAAGGCCTTCGAGGAAGGCGTTCGGTATATAGCTCGGCAGTAGTCTATTGTTATAGGTGTGCACATGAGACCATTATTGATTATTGATAGGAGATGGGACGATTATTGATTCGTATACATGCTGCGACCATACTTAAATTGTTTTCATGATTATTGAGATTAATTATTGCATAGCGGTGAGCACCTCGACTTTTCTATTGTGCTCATCCCCACCTGCTCTTCATGGATTCAAGTTAGTTTATGCGGCACGGCGGAAGGGATGCGAGTGGTGGTTCTTAAAAATTGAATAAATGCTTCCGCCTTGAAAAATTGAACTTGGATATTATTGCATTATTGATTATTGTTTTTCACTAGTACCAGATTATTGAATTATTGATGGGATTATTTCCCTAGGATTATTATTGGATTTGCATTATTGGAATTTTAATATGGATTATGAGTATTGATTATTGTTGAATATTGAGAATGTGTTTAGTATTGATTAATGTTTTAAAAATGAGTAGCGCCTCAAATATTGTTTTTGAAATAGTTTTCAAAATTTTATTCTGAATTTCGGGAAATAAAAGTGGGGCGTTACAACTAGTGCTGAAATGAAATACAACATCACATGGTACTATAAAATACATCATAAACCCAAAAACTAAAAACAAACATGAGAATTTAGTAATCTGGCAAGTTGGCACCGCTTCCTCCAAGATCATTGAAAAATTCGCCAAATGCGTTGGTTGGATATGGATTCGATTGGGATTGTTGAGCTCTTTTCTCCAAGATTCGTGCCTTTTCAGCTTCAATGTACACTCAAACTCTAGGATCTTCAATGGATATGACATCTTGAAAAAAAAAAATTATTTTTTTCCCTCATTTCTTTTAAAGCATGGGATCTATTGTGCATCTCCATTTGGTATTTTATTTGGTCGTTTGCATTATTCATCTCATCAACAAGTCTTTTGTTTACTTCCTTCATCGTATTGATGAGCGATGATGAATCATCATTTACCTTTCTTTTCAGTTTGGTTTTCTTCACCCCGATAGGTCTTTCAGATGGAGAACCACTCGCAAATTGATCCGAGTCGCTTAAATTTATAGAAAATAAAGAAAT